TGATGTTATGACATACATGAAGAGTGTTCTGCAGGGTAAGTTGAGTTAACTAGAAGTAAGTTAAGTTGGATGTCATGCTGAATGTTATGACATTGAGCGTATGACACAAGAGCACGCAACTTAGTTTTCTGGTATTTAGAATGAGGGAGCTCAGGCTAGAATTCAGGAAAATTTTTAGAAGCTCAAACTGGAAGTCAGGAAACATTTTAGAAGCTCGGGTGAAATTAAAGATGACAAAAATGTCCCTGACCTAAATGGTAAGTGTGCATATTTCTGAAGAGTGGTTTATCTTGGGTAAACGTAAATTCTACACAAAGGCCCAAAGGCAATCTGCTGCTATAAATAACAGATGTAGCAATCCTGATGAGAGGGCTCTTGACAGTATTTGCAGAGATTGAAGAGTGTATTTTGTGAGTGAAGAGGTTTGTTCTTCATGTGTGTATTGTGTCTTAGGAATACTTGTTAACCAATCAATTGTCTGCTGTATGATTGCATTGGTTTAGTATTGTTAAGCTGTTTAGTGTGTCACTCTAAAGCTTTTAAGCAAGAGTGTTGTGTCACTTGATCAAAGCTGTGAAGCAAGATCAAGGTGTGTTTGAAGTGTGTCTTCATATCTCTTTTGTAATTTGATATCACTAAGGTGATTGAGAGGGAGTGAGAGGTGTCTCTGGTCTAGTGATCTATAGGCTGAAGTGTCATTGGGTAGGTCTTAAGAGAAGAGTGCAATCTGGTTGTTTGACTCTGAATTAATTCTACTAATAGTGAATTTCCTCCCTGGCTTGGTATCCCCCAGATGTAAGTGTTGTTGACATTGAACTAGGTAAACAATTACTTGTGTTATTTACTGCTTTCCTTTACAGCTTGTTGTCTAAGTTTTGTAGTCTATGTTATTATGGATGTCATAACATTCGTGATAACATTCACTGTTGGGTACCTAGAATTTCAATAATCTTAACATGTTAACAATTATGAAAATTACAACATGCTTATTGAATTGATTTTATGAAAATAAGTTAAGTTGCAGACACATAGAAACAAAATGCAGTAAAAGCAGAAAAATAAGAAATTGTAAATTTCAATGGACTAATACAAAAAACAAACTTTAATTTAATCTTCAATCCAAGTATACGGCAGCGCAATGAAAAACAAAGTACAATACTACAACAATTCTTCGGTGCGAGCAATTGTTGCTTTAGAAGGTAAATATGTGGTTAAAAGTCTAAAGAAAGTTCAACAACGTTTTCACACAGGTTGGATCCAGTTGAACTACCCTCCAAATTTTCTATTTATAGAGGAAAATGCAGTTGTATAACTCCCATTTCGAATTCTGGATTTGAAGGGAAAAGGAAACTGCTAACAATTGCTCAAAATCTGAATTCTGCAGTTAAAATTGCTCCTGTGAACTGTACGACGATTGTCGTGGTGCCCATGGCGAGCACCATGGTCTCTATGGATGTGAGGTGGCCTTCAGAATGCAGATGGCGAATGCCATTTGGAGGTGGCGAGCGCCATATAAGAAAAGCTGGCAGATTCTTGCTGCTCTAGCTGGATTTTTCTTCTTTTTCACTTCTTTTCTCGATTTCTTCTAGGATCTCGACGGGAACACCTGGCAACATGAAAACGGAGTAAGAACACAATAAAATGCAAAAGACTCAATAAAAACTCGGACCTAAAATGCACAAAGTGAGCCTAAAAATACGATACAAAATCATGTTATCAAACTCCCCCACACAAAGACTTTTGCTTGTCCTCAAGCAAACTCCCAACAAAAATAAAATAATAAATGCACCACTTGACTCGTAGGCACGGAAAAAACAATCAAAGCACAAGGTTGCTAGGCTAATACTAAACGGATAGGTACTAAATAGTGAAAACAAGGATACCGTACCAACACAAATCCATAAAAGCGGGCAAAGACTTCCTTCCTGTGCAATACCAATTCAAATCATGACATTATAACTTGACCTATAGACTTTATTCTTATTCACCTCTCTTTTATTCTCGTGCAATCATATTAAGCCTATTATCCTTTGTACTTACATGGTAAGTGAACCTGTTAGTGTTATATGATCTCTTATTCAAAAATTGCTTTCTTTTTAGAACATTATGTTTTCTTTTGTTTACAAATTTCAAGAGTCTGAACCTTTAGGCTAAATGGTCGGGTGAGAGCCCCCTAACTTAGCGGAAACGTGCCTTTCATTCGTTTTTTCTATAAAAATTGCACAATTCAATTTTTTTTTAGATCAACACATATTTGCATAAGTTCATTACTTAGTTCGTACATAAAGATGATCCTGACTGCTATTATAAACTAATCAAGAGGCTACTTCTAAAGAACTAGGAATAAGGTCTCGACATAATGTCTATTTAAATCAATATCACATACTTAGGGAATCTAGGGTGTAGGAACGGTACCGATATTAACAAAACTTTTCCAAGTCCGACTAACATAGCCTAAAACAAAGGTAAACAACCTATAATCACGGTGTCATGCCATTGAGTCAAAACAAAAAATAAAATAAAATTAGGGTCAAAATGAGAGAATTTTTAAACATATCGAAAATGTAAAGTATAAATGGACTCACGACGCATATGACTTGATAAACAAACAACAAAACAAATAAAAAAAAACAAACTAGCTAGAAAGCATAAAAACATAAACATAAAGACATAAAGAGATAAAGTTCTTCCCCCACACTTGAACTAAACATTATACTTAATATTTTGGAACAAGGTGAAAGAAGGAGTGCTTAAACCTAGTGTGAGATCAATGATGGCGGCCTCGGCCGCGGTGTCGTCCACCACCTTTGTTGAAGGGGTTTGGAACATGATGCACATAAGCACTTAAGTCTTGAACTTCTAATCGCAAACCACCCATCTCCTCGATCAGGTCACCAAGATCGTGCTGAGTCCTCTCAATGTAGTCATGCTGCTGCTGGCTAATGTGGTCAACAACGACTCTTAGCTCCTCCTGCTATCTCTGCAGAGTCTAAAGCATCAGGTCAAGATCTTCCTCCATATCATTCCTGTACCTAATTTCTGATAAAATATCATCAAGGCACTCCTCATAGCAATGCAATCATACTCCCGGGGCAACAAATATGTACCTGCAAAATGGAACGGGCTACCGAAAAGAAGATGCATCTTGTTGGTATAGGTAGTACCAATTAATCCTTATAAGCCTTCATTCAACCATACAGTCTTATACCTACATAGCCTTAGGACCCCTCTCATTTTGATGTGAATTTGGTTTTTCCTTAGAAGCTGTTAGCAGTGTCTCATTGTCATGTCTCGTGCACCGACAACTACTCCCTGGTCCTCGGGTGTTACATGTAACCATTCGCCCTCAGGTGTTACACCAGACATGTCCCTTTTCCAAGCTGATCACCACAAGGCATAACATCCCGAATCCAACCCCAAGTATTTACTGAAGCTTCTAGAATGTTCTCCTGACCATTGGACCACCAGTAATCTAGAAGCAAGAGATCAATCCCTCCAACCCATCCAACAGTCCTCCGCATTCTACGTCGAAAAGTTAGAGAGGTAGTTATTCTACTCCCTTATATATGCGGATGACACCATTTCAAATAAATTTTTTTAAACATAATTTAAATACTCTTTCATCATTCACATACTGACTTAAGTATCAGAGTAATAACCTTGCAGATACACTCCCTACTCTGTCACGCCAGAAACTCCTCTCTGTCGTAGCTTCCACAATTCTCCACATTTTGAGTTCCCACATTTAAATTAAATCTAACATCTAACATTACTGCATATATTTGAACAATAAAATATCAAGTCAAATATTATATATAATATCCTATGAGAATGCCATTATTATGTAAAAACTTGAAAATAAATTTGAACCATTAGATTTTAAAATAAATTGTGGAGATTATGTGTCATTTTTTCCTATCTCCTTTATTATTAAAATAAATTATGAAAGAGAGAGAGAAAAATAGACATATAATCTTCACAATTTATTTTAAAATTTAACGGTTCAGATTCATTCTCATGTTTTCACACATTCGCATAGGCAGATCCGTCTTAAGTTTTCGGAGGCCCGGTGTAGATTTACCATGGTTTAACTATAGAAAAATAAATTGAGGCTCTGTTTTGTGATGGTTTAACCATGAAAAATATTTTATGAGGCCGTTTATTAGACACTTTTTAATTGTGATAAATTTTGGGCCATATGCTAACCCGCCTCGCAGACCTTCAAAGACGGCCTTACTCATGAGACACATTATATATATATATATATATATATATATATATATATATATATATATATATATATATATATATATATATATATATATATATATATATATATATATATATATATATATATATATATATATATATATATATATATTGAGATCAACTTATTACAAGAATAAATTTTTGCAACTTACTCCACATCATATCTTTTAAATTGAATTGAAAATTAATATTTTTAATATAACCATTCAATTAAATCTAATTTAAAGGCTATTATTATTAAATGAATTATAAAATTTATTTTTAGATTAAGTGGATCATCGTTTTATATTATATATATATATATATAAACATTTTTATTTTATAATATTTTTCTCTTTATTTTCTACCCTATACATATTCAAATTGTATTTTATAAATACAAATAAATATCCAATCTATTAAACTTTTAATTATCAAAAGACAATATATAGTATTGTTTCACTTTCGCCAGTTCTTTCCGTTCTTATTGTGTTCTGTCGTGACTCTACAGCCCTCTTTCTCTCTCTCATATGTCGCTTTCAGTCATAAATTAGGGAAAAGCAAGCAGACAGCTACACCCACAAACACATACTCTCTCTCTCTCTCTCCTTTCTTTTCTTCCCTTCTCTTCTCACCACCCAGCACTCAATAACGTTACCCTCTCTTTCTTTCTATCTCATGTTTCTCTCTCCTCTTCCCCATCTTTCTTCTTAATTACTGCTACTTCTTCTTTCTTTTCACTGCTACTGATCATGGGAGCTAGGTTTGATGGATTCTCAATAAGGTATATTATTATTGATTATATCTTTTTTATTTTTTTTCATATTTATTTCACTTCATCTTTGATCCTGAACTTTATGAAACTCATTTTGATTCGATTTTGCTTCCAGAGAGTACACTTCTAAGATGAGGTCCATCGACGTTTTCAAATGTTGGCCATTCACTTCAACTTCTAACCGTCAACTCACACGCCACGAACTTCATTCATGGCTTCCTCCAATCTCTCCCTGCCCTAGATCCAATCACAACAACAACTCTCTAAATCACCACAATCAACCCTCACTTCAAGAACCTTCCAGAACCGATAGCGAAGAATTATCCAAATCAGATGAGTTTGCTTCTCCTCCTTCTCCGCTTCCGGCTGTTGTTGCTGCTGCTGATGATGAAAAATTGGAGATGATTTGTCCGGTTTGTCGCGAATTCAACGCAGCTACTCTCACGGCGGTGAACGCTCACATCGACGGTTGTCTTGCGGAGTCTGTTAGAGTGGAGCGTCGTCACATGAGGAGGATGAATTCGAAAGCGTGTAAATCGAAGTCAAAATCGAAGTCGCCTAAGAAGCGTTCAATAGCTGAGATTTTCAAGGTAGAGGATAAGGATCAGCATAAGGAGGAAGAGCGACCGCTGCCAAACGAGAGTGTGACAAAATTGTTACCGTGCGGTGAGGATATTGAAGACGATGAGGTTTCTATAACTGTTAGGAAGTTCAGATGGCTCTCTCAACGGCTTGAGGCGTTGAGATCTAAACCTGGAGGTGATGAATCGGTGAAATCCTCTGTTGAAGAGGAGAAATTGGAGATGATTTGTCCGGTTTGTCGAGATTTCAACGCTGCTACTGTAACGGCTGTGAACGCTCACATCGATAATTGTCTCGCGCAGGCTGTTAGGGGTGAACGGTGTCAAACGATAAAAACTGGTTTCAATGCTTTCCATGGTTTCAAGTCCAAACCTAAAGCACCGAAGAAGCGTTCAATTGCGGAGATTCTAAATGCGGCGCCGGCTATTGAAATCAGTAAAAGCAAGACGAATCCTTCTATTGTGGTTGAGGAAGATGAAGATGAAGACAAATCCTCCGATTATTCCGGTGATGATTTTAGTGCTTCTGATGCTGCTGAAACTGTTGTATCTCTCACAAAAGCCAAGAAGAGTACGAATAAAAACAGCAAAAAGAAAAAGACGAAGAAGCTTAACAAGAAGATGATGACGATAAAGAAGAAGTTGGGAAAGCAAAGTGATGGTAATAGTGTGTTGCTGAATAACGAGAAGAAGACGGGTGTGAACATGAAAAAGAAGAAGAAAAAGAAGAACATCTTCAACGGCGAGTTCACTCGGAAGAAGGTATGTGGTTAAATTTAAGTTAATCATTTTGTTGTATGCTTTATGTTTCCATTATTTGAAGCTAATTCGTGGTTACTGATGATAAAATATATGGAATTTTTACATAAAATATCACCGGACACTGTACATGTAGCTCTGTGTTGATGTAGTTCCTTATGCTGTGAGCTTAATTAGGAACGGGCTTCAGTGTCTAATTATTTGTTTGCTTTTTCTGCATAAAATCACTTCTGCAAAAGCTGATTAGAGAGACAACTACTGCATATCTATATTTGTGGATGAAAGTGAGTGGTTTTTGTTTAGTAGTACTAACGAAATGAGCGAAATAAGCGGTAAGTAAAAGTTGGGTAAATGAAGTTAAAAGTGAAGACTATAAGGGTCTTCGTGTGTGGAAGGAAATTCACAAGGCAGTGAAGGAGATGTTGTTCTAGCTGTAGGGTGTGTGTGCGTGTGTATAATTAGTAGTATTAGTATGAGTAACCTAGCTACAAAGGATCCACTACTTCTGGGTTACGAAGTAGAAGAGATGAGTCTAATCATTATGGGTTTTTTCTCACCCCGTTACTATAATAATTTGGAAGGAATTATCATATGGGGCCATGGGTAGATTGACATTTTCTCGTCTCATTTGCCTAGTTTTTTAAACGTAGTCTATGAGTATGAGGTTTATGAACAGCTGCATATATTTTGGGTGGATAGGTCCAGAATTTGATAGATCATTTATTGGTCTATGTCTGTGTGTGACGATACGGATGTCTTTCACAATATTTTCAGCAACAATTATTGGAGAACTTTTCCTTCTTTCATTACATATCAGATGAATATGGAACAACATATCACAAATATGTTTTGTTGTGATGCAAATATGATTTTAGATTACAGGTATTTTTGTGACATTGTATTATTGAACACTAACATAATCTGAGTTAAATATTCTTTAACAGATTTATCATTAGCAAGCTTATTTACCGCCTACAATAAACAAATAAATGTAGAGAGATAGTATAAAAAAAAATATAAAAAAATTATCAATTTTAGTACTGAAAATGAAAATCTACCGTGATAGCAAAACAATTTAAACAAGAATTAACCCTTGAACCAAAATATCTTAACTCAAACACGAAGTCCCAAACTTATTTCTTCTTTCCACCCTTGCCAGCTTCAGAAGCCTTGGTCTGCAAAGAGAACACAGACATAGTTTTATAATTTAATTATACAATGACTGAATACAATGTAAGCAATCATAAACTCATGACATTAATTAGTAGCTACAAAATTAATTACCTTCTTAACACCACGGATCTTCTTGGCTCTATTCTTTCTCTCCTTCATTTGCTTCCTTGACTTCTCTACTTTGGTGTCAAGACCGTTCTGAAATAGAGATGCATATTGTCTTTCAGTTACACAAATCAGTATAAGCCTAAAGAAGAAGAAAACGCATTAAAAATCAACTTGACCGACACAATTGAAATAGACCAACATGATGTTGGAATATTTGAAAATATGACTCTCACCAAAGAAAGTTTTCAAAGTAACAATTTTGGAAAATGGTCCAACACTGTGTTTAAATAACCGAATGTATTGTTGTTGACTCAAAGTTAGCCCATAGCGGATTTAGAGGGGCCAAAGTTAAGGAGCTTCCACGGGAGGCTGAAAACAGTAATTATTGTAGACAGACAGAAAATGAAGTACCTGATGCATTCGGACTTAAATTAATGTTTAGCATGTCTTACAAGTTTTAACAAATAATTTAAGTTTGTTTTGAAAACTAGCAACTATAACACTACTAAAAGGAAAAGTGATAAACCAAAAAGTAACAACGAGATGTAAGCACGAAGTTATTACAGCCAGTAATAAATACTACAATGTAGTGTGACTTTAAAGAACATATAAGGCAAAGTTAACCAAAATTATGCAAGCACAAGCATCAAACACTAAATAACATATAAGTGAATATTTCACATGAAAAGATAATTTACAACAATGATATAAGGAATTCCGGCCAAAAGATTTAAAAACAAAATCAAAATGAGATAGTTATGCCGATTGTTAACTCACTCTGATAAGCCTATACTTGGGCTCGTACTTCTTGGCACTCTCAACTGAATCATAAATCAAACCAAAACCAGTGGATTTTCCACCACTGTGTTTTGAATTGGAAGACAAACACAGTGTTAGCGTCCTTCACATTATATAGTTGCCAGCTTTTCCTTGAGCTTAGCCTTTATGCCACAAACAAATCAATAAATACTATGTAATATCCAATCAATAACTCGTTAAAAATCAAATACAAATTGCTAATTTAAGACACTAAAAACCCTAATATTAGTTTATTCCTTATAATTTAAATTAATAAAAACACATAAACAAAAAGTACCTTAGAAACATTTGGTTTCCCTGGATGATTAGCTTCAACAACCTGAAATAATAAAAGAAAAAAAAAACCAGGTTAGGAATTAGGGTTAATTAACTAATTCCAAATTCATTGAGCAATTCAGAAAGAAATTCAGGAAAGAAAAGAGTGATCATCTCAAAATTGATTGTACACTTTTGGATCTAGATAGTTTGAAACTAAATAAAACTACAAAATCATATATAACAAGAAGATTTTCATGAAATGCAGAACAAAAATGAGAAATTTACGAATTGCTTCCTGGAAAGGAGACGATTGGTGAAGAACTTTCTAGTCCTGATAATGATAGCTTTCTCTGCCATGATTTTGCGGATGAATGAATGAATCTAGAAAGAGTAGTGAAATGAATGATCAGAGCTTCAGAATCAACTAAAGCATTAACTAATTTTGGTTTCTGTTTTTTAACAGGTTTATAAAACTAAGGGTTTTGGATATGAATGGACTGGGCTAAGAAAAAACACTTAAAAATTGGCAATTTCTTTTTGAGAATTTCTTAAGGCATTTCATGGTTTTTTTTTTCACCATGTGTTTTTTTTTATAAATGCGTTTAAAGTTTAAATTGTTTTGAAAATATATTCGAACTATTTTTTATAAATGCTTTTAGATTTCGGAGATATATCTTCGAACTTTTCCAGAGATGTATCTACAGGAATTTTTCGGGATACATTTCCGAAGTATTTCAGAATAGGGTTTTTTTCAATAACACATTGTGTATTTGTTCACAGATAAATTATAAAATAATAGACAAACAAAAATAACATAATAATATAATAATAGGATGTCATACATTACATACATCACGTAAATCCAAAATGGGGCAACAATGTAAAAAAAAACATACAAACTATAGTACTGTTTTTCCTGACATTGTTACTTCATTTACGTGATGTATGACATCCTATTATTATATTATTAATGTGTTATTAAAAAAATCTATTGAAAATGGATTATAAGATACATCTCTGAAAAAGTTCAAATGAAAATGAATTATAAGAGATATAATGTGAACGTTTAAATTTTAAATTGTTTTGAAAATATATTTCCAAAATATTATTAAGCTATGAAACACGATCGAAGATATATCTCCGAAATCTAAAAGCATTTATAAAAAAACCACAGTTGAAAAAAAAAACCATGTCAAAAGAAATTGCCAATTTTTGTTTTATAAAACGGAAACCAAAATTAGTTAATGTCTTAGTTGATTATGAAGCTCTGATCATTTCTTTCACTACCCTTCCTCGTAGCATTCATTCATCCGCAAAATAATGGTAGAGAAATCTATCACTATCAGGACTAGAAAGTTCATCACCAATCGTCTCATTTCCAAAAAACAATTCGTAAGTTTCTCATTTTTTCCTTCTGCATTTCATGAAAATCTTCTTGTTATATATGATTTCGTGGTTTTATTTAGTTTCAAACTATTAATAACATCTGGACCGTGCAATCAATTTTACGATTATCACTAATGTCTGAATTGCTCTATGAATTTGGAATTGATAGTTAATTAACCCTAATTCTTAACTTTTTTTTTTTTTTCTTTTATTGTTTCAGGTTGTTGAAGCTAATCATTCAGGAAAATCAAATGTTTTTGGGGTATTTTTTGTTTATGTGTTTTTATTAATTTAAATTATAAGGAATAAACTAACATTAGGGTTTTTAGTGTCTTAAATTAGCAATTTGTATTTGATTTTTAACCCGTTATTGATGGGATATTACATAGTATTTATTGATTTGTTCCTTGTGTGTGGCATAAAGGCTGAGCTCAAGGAAAAGTTGGCAACTATGTATAATGTGAAGGACGCTAACACTGTGTTTGTCTTCCAATTCAAAACACATTTTGGTGGTGGAAAATCGACAGGTTTTGGCTTGATTTATGATTCAGTTGAGAGTGCCAAGAAGTACGAGCCCAAGTATAGGCTTAAGCTTGACTTATGATTTAGTTGAGAGTGCCAAGAAGTACGAGCCCAAGTATAGACTTATCATGGTGAGTAACTACTTCATTTTGATTTTGTTTTTAAATCTTTTGGTCGGAATTCCTTGTATCATTGTTGTAAATTATCTTTTCATGTGAAATATTCCTTTATATGTTAGTGTTTGATGTTTGCATCATTTTGGTTAACTTTCCTTCGATGTGAAATCTTGTCTTATATGTTCTTTACGGTCATAGTACAATGTAGTATTTATTGCTTGCTTGCATAATTGTTACTTTAGTTTTTATGTTTACAGCCAAAATAGCTCCGTGCTTCCATCCCGTTGTTCCTTCTTGGTTTACCACTTTTCCTTTGTAGTTGTTAGTTTTCAAACAACACTTAAATTTTTTGTTAAAACTGGTAAGTGAGTATGCATCAGATACTTCATTTTCCGCCAACTTAGAATAATTACTGTTTTGGCCTCCCGTGGAGGCTATACGCTATGGAAATTTTTTTTCTTTGGTGAGAGTCATATTTTCAAATATCCCAACATCATGTTGGTCTATGTAGATTTTATTTTTATGAGTTAAACTGCATTTTCTTCTTCTTTAGGCTTATCTTATCCATGTTAGGTCTATAAAATGAGATATTTTAGTTCAAGGGTTAATCCTTGTTTAAATTGTTTTGGTATCACAGGCAGATTTTCATTTTCATTTTCAGCGCTAGAATTGACAATTTTTTTAAAATTTTTTTTCTTACTATCTCTCTACATTTTTTGTTTATTGTAGGCGGCAAATAAGCTTGCTAATGATAAATCTCTGTTAATGAATATTTAACTCAGATAATGTTAGTGTTCAATAATATAATGTCACAAAAATACCTATAATCTAAAATCATATTTGCATCACAACAAAACATATTTGTGATATGTTGTTCCATATTCATCTGATATGTATGAAAGAAGGAAAAGTTCTCCAATAATTGTTGCTGAAAATATTGTGAAAGACATCCGTATCGGGTTGATATAGATCATTATCGCATGGGAGTATCTTTCAGACGTTTTTTATGCTGCAACATCGTAGCACATGAGTGAAGTTGTGGGAGTAAGTTATAGTAGTATATGATGATGGTTTTGGACCCTCTGTGTGTGATATAAATATATACACACGGCCTTCAAAGAGGCTACCCATGTAAGATCACAATGATGTTACAGATATGTAATCTTGCTGCTAATTATTTCCCCATATATGTAAATTTAAATCTTGACTTGCCTTAATGTTTGAAACAACTGCGTCTGTAGTGTATTGTTTCCATACTTAGCTTTTAGTATATATACTAATCTAAATAACTCATTTTTTGACAAGGCCCTTGGACTCTGATTCTATAATCATAATATATTTTTTTTTAGTATCCATGAGTTTTAGTTGGATATAGGAACTTTTAGTGAAAATAAATTAAAATTTTTTATTTATTTTAAAATAAAATAGTATTAAAACATGACATGGCATCTAATAACCTTGTTTAATTTTTTTTTTTTTGAATTAACAAGGTAGTTTAACATCACTTTATAATAAGAAGTACTTTTTCAATTTTTTATTCCAAAAACAAATATCACTTCTGCCCATTTTGGCCGTCATAGACTATGAAAAAAAATGATTTTATATTTTGTGTTTGTTTATCAAAATGAAAATATTTTTTTTATAAAAAATCAGTTATAAAAATTAATTATTTAGAGTAACTACTTTTATTTTATAGTTGTATAAAGAGAAAGTACAATAAATAACTTATCATTTAAAGACATTTTTAGATGTCTCAATTTTAAAAGAATTTGTAACAAATGAATCAAAACTTCAAAGATTTTTTATTTTAAAAAAATGATTTTTTCACAAAAACATTTAGCAACTGAGCTCTTCAAATTATTTACATAAATTGAAGTATCACATAATTTATATTTGTTTTTTGTAGTTGATATTTATATATTTTAAATAAATTTTTTTATGTTGAAATAAATTGAAGTATCAAATAATTTTTCAATTTTTTCAATTTTTATAAAGTTTTATACTTAGTCTAGTTGATAACATTTCTTAATTTAACTTTTAGATTGATTTAATTCATTATTCACAAAACAAGTTATTGAAATACATAACTGTGCTAATGTCAACTAATCACGACACTTTAAAAAATATATATGGTAGTCATTGCATATTTTTTGTTATATTAGTAACACAATAAAGTGTAGCTAGGAACCGAAGTAGAAAATTCGTTGATGTTATAATGTAGAAGTGTATCACTTATAATTTCTATAGTATAAGTGGTTTAGTCATAATTGTTTTAAGCACAGGCTTTGAATTACGATTAAACTTTTAAAAATAATAATTGTACCTAATTGTGTAGGATTATTTTACTCTATGTAGTAAAATCAAATTTAGGGACATGCAGTTTCAATTAATAAGTACAAGTTTTTATTGATTTTATTATGAGCTATAAATAAGATTTTAAATTGAAGCTCTCACGCAGTCTGTTTGCTCGTATATGCCACATTCCATTACCAATATAATTATGTCCATGTAGTTTGATATTTATAATTAGGGATGATGTGCACATAAGCTTTCATTCACGCATAGAATTTTTAACAATTTTTTTGTAAGAGAATATTTAAGTTCATATAACCTCATGAACTAAAATGTGTCGAGAAAAAACCTATTGGTACGTAATCGATAAAATAATTTATTAGCTTTAAGTGTGCTTTTTATGTTGATGTAAGTATATGATCCATGCATTTAATATAGATTTTAATGTTCCCCTCTTAATATAAATACTAAAATGGCCAAGTTCGAGAGTTTTGTTTTTGAAGCATAGAAGGACGTAATTTAATTCTTTACACAGCATGTGTTTGGTGAGTTCAAGAATCATGGTATTGCTGCACGTGTTATAACCTCTCCAGTTGGTAGCTTCAAGAAACCCACAGTGAAAATGTACGGGACGTGAGAAAACCCAATGAAAACTCATTGAAACACATATTAGTCGTTTAAATTTTGAAATAAGCTTTTATTTGAGGTTTTCTGAAGAATATATTAGAAGAAACTCTATAATTGAACTTAATAGTGTATATTAATTGGATAAGTTTTCACATTTTTATTTATTTGAATGATGGGCCATTAAACACCAATTAATTTTAATAAAATGTTATTAAAGCTTATTCAAACTAAACATGACTATTATGTTATAATAATAGAACTTCCTTAATTTAGTTATTCTTGTTTATTTCAGGAAAGTGCGTACAAAGGCGACGTGCAAACTGCAGTAAATAGTTGCAGAAAACTAAGAGGTACAATTGGTAATGAAATGGTTGCGCTGCAAGACATTGAACCTTCTGTCCGTAGAAAGAAGTTGAGATTAAATGGCTTATCAGTTGAAAAGAAGCCACAGTTTATAAACTGTGACTCCATAGGAAAGCGGCAAAAACCAAATTCTCCTGTTGGGGGCACTTTTAAGAACCACTTGAAACATCTTTCCGGCAAGATATCAGATGGATGTAAAATTCAAGATGGTGCTGAAGAAAGCCATGGGTATGATCAAGTGCTAACCTCTGACATACATGTCAAATTCTCTTATAAAGATGAAATAGTTGGTCTGAAAAAGAGAACTTCATTTGATGAAACTATGTTTAACACATCTTCAGATGCACTGGCTACTTCATTTGTAAAGGATCGGTCTTCTGGAACTGATGAAGAAAGTTCAAGTTTTGAGGGAAACAGAAATTATGGCCACATTGCCCTTAATATAGACAAAGACAAAAGAGAGGAGGTTTGCCCAATAACCGAAAGCAAACAGTTTTCTAGTACTCTGGAACAAGTCACGAGACCAGATTTCTTGAAGCCATGTATCAATCAAGAAAAATCCAATCAGTTAGAACAGAAGTCTGAATTATTAACCAAGATGGCAGTTTATGACAATAATAATTCACAGCTTTTTGATGGAGGCAACACAACTACAATTCATTTTTCTCCAATTGCTGGTATTTCTAAACCTCTTCCAGCAGTTCAACAAGGGCAAATGTGTGGTAAAAATACACAAGTGCGTGAATCTGGAGTTTTCAGTTTTGGTGGAAAGTTCATTGACTATTCGGAGGATAATACATTTCTGGTTGATGCTGTGAACAAAAATGCAAGTACAGAGACATTCCTGGAGCTTTCGTCGTCTTATTCTGCTCCATATGACAAAGCTAATGAAAGGCCAGAATCTCCATCGCCTTCATCTTCTTACTATGGAGATAATGTGTTTCATGCAGATATGACTGATAAGTCATACCCTTTTACAAGCTGGGGACAAGGATGCATAAGAAATAGCTGTTTGGATCCCAACTTTTTCGGTTTACCACTCAACTCTCATGGTGAGCTGATCAATTTCAGTTCGAGTGGAAATGTAGTGACGAACCAGCTGGAGACATCTAGTCCATTAGAAGGTTCGTTAAGTGGCTTGCCGAGTAATAATGCTCTCTGTCGAAGTAGCCAGGAAAATTTAAGCATTAATGAGAGGCATGCTGTTCAGAAGACATTACAAAAAGATGGTCCAAGTTCATTACCTCATTATCCACCCTCACCTAGGTTAGATGTGACCGAGATATGCAGCCCTAGAGAAGATATCCATCCACCTAATTCTGAAATATTTTCCAGTCACCATTCAGAGTTCCAACAGAACCAATGTGAAAGAGGGCAGAACCACAACAGAAATGGGATGGTTTCTCTGAAAGAAAGTTCAGATCATATCTCACTAAGTTCCAGCCAACCAACAGTGAGGTTGATGGGTAAAGATGTTCCAATTGCTAGAAGAAGCCAAGAGACACAAAAATTTACGGGAGATGTTTGGACTGATGAGGAATCCAAGAGAAGGCATTATGCTGACTATTCTGCTTTAGAAAATTCTTTACTAGGAAGATGCTCCAAGCAGGATTGGGTATCTGGTTCCTCTTTACACATATCAACCAATAGTGTATTGCAGTCTGAGCAAACCCAAAGTACTAGTGGATTACAAAGCACTCCAGGATTTCCTCAACAGTTTATTGATATGCAAAGTAATCATGTATCTCAAAATGGAAGACTCGGGGTCGGCAGAAATGCTAGTTCTTATATCAATCCTATTGCTCAGGAATCTACCTCATATGCTGTATTTAATGGGACACCCAGTGACTCTTCAGAGCAGTTTATAGCCGGTTCTAAACCATCAGGACTGAGCTCTCGGCCACAGGTATTACCCACTCCTTGCAATTTTAATCAGTCAGCGTGTTCAAGAAACGGGGAGCTTAATGGAAGGAACAAAAATCCTCATGTTACCAAATCAGCCTTTGGATTTCCTTTCTTGCAGCCTGCTGTCGATGAACAGGCCAAAACATATTGGAGTCAGGGGCCTTATAGAAGTTTACCACCTTGGTTGTCAAGCTCAACAGATGACATCCTAACCGGTGCCTATTCTCCACAGTTTTCTGGCTTAGGTAATCAAAGTTTTCCTCAAAATCGATGGGGAAATAATTTTGCTACACCATCTTTTAATCATTCAGCAGAATTTCTCTACCCTTCTAGTCCTTTAACTTCTGGGGTTCCCATGAAGACGACCCCTCTTTATCCAGCATCTATTGTTCAACCTCCACAACTCTCAGTTACATCCTCTACCATGAATAGTGGCTGTAGAAACATAAATAAGGTTGTTGACAGAGTAAAGTTGGATAATATGGCTGCCAAAGACCACCCCCCATGCACAAATATCTGGAAGAGATCTGCAGTTAATCTTGATGATTCTCGAAAACCCATCAATTTATCCAGTAGTGAAGTGAAAGACAACTTGCAACTTAACAAAAGAACAGCGGTACTTGATCCACAAGTGGAGATTTCTAGAAGTAGGTGTTGGCCGAATGTGGCGCAAAATCTAAATCCTACAAGTTATCCTGTCACTGATTCTTTTAAACCGAGCGACACAATAAGATCGAGCCCTGTCCGACTTGGTCCTAAAAGAGCTAAGCACATCCTAAAATCCTCATGAAATATGGATCAGGATAGAAAAAGAGTGATCCATTTTGCCATACTCTTATTTGTGACTACTGACTGTGATAGGGATCTAGAAATCCAGAGTTAATAGACTAAACTATACTGATTTAGGTGAAAGCCATATCATTTAATCTTATCTGTTATCCCCCTTCATTGTATACTATTATATATATCATTTGTGAACATAATAAGATTGCCATGTATCAATATTTCCAGGTTGCTGAAACCGGTGGAAAATTGATCTAATTTCATCCAATCTTTTGATCATCCAGCTCAGTTTTGAAGTTTTTTTTTGCTCTTTACAGAATTTTATCACTAAAGATGATGCTTTCAATACCTATTTTTGATTCAGGTATTCAAAAATAAGGAAATACTAAATCTTTCACAATACTGCTAAACCTATTTAATAAATCTTGAATTTGTTGCTTTATAAATTAGTTTATAAACTGTGGGATACCCCACTAAAGCCATCACATAAATGCCACTCTTTTTATTCATATTGTACACCTCAAAAAAAATTCCGACAATCACACGGTGATACTGATAATAATTTGAAAAATTAAATAAATTAAATGTAATTACCATGTAATTACCATTATCAATACAGGTGTTCGACATTGACATGAATATGAACACGTATTTTTTCTTTTTTTTTCAAAGATGTCAATGTTACATAGATTCTGATACCTCCATTTACATGAATTATCAAAAAAAATATTGATGATTTTTTTATAGCATGCTCTTTTTTAGAAAATAGTCATAATATTACAAAGCTCTAATTAAAAAAAAAATATTATTAGCTGTTATGAGAACAAAATACGCCATAGTATATGCACACAAATTTTCTTAAATGTTTTTATGTAGAAATTAGGTATTTTATACACTAATCTCTCGAGTTAGGGAGTTGGAGAGGATCACACTGGAAGAGATATGAGTTAATAACAAAAGATTCTTTGTATGAAAAAGTAAACATATGATATAGGAATATTGAAGAACCTTCTTTTACTCGTGATAATTAAAACCTCATCAGTTTAACTATAACAATTCTGAAACTACATGCTAGAATACAAAGTGCTGATTTATTATAACATGTTTACATTCTTCTCATGCCATCTTGGTTAAATCTACACTCACTCAATGCTTCTTTGCTTCTTTCTCAGCCTGCAATATAAAGTGAAAAACTATTATTAAAAAAATAATAGCAAAAAAGTAACTATTACTATAATTTAAAGAAATAGTTCTTTATATCATACTGCTCTAATCACTCTCTCAAATGCATCTGGACCAAATCTATCAATATAACGTTCAACCGCTTTTCTCGCATCCAGCGTCATCATATGAAGAACCTTCTTGTACTCCTCCGGATAATTCGAACCTCCATAGTTACCAAGCTTCTTGACGTATTTCCTCACATAATTCTCATATATGTAAGCTGCTCCATTGAACATTGGCAGCACCAACCATAAGCAGAACACAAGCTTCATGTATGGCCAAATAGGAAACCAAGATAGGATCCTATAAGTTGAAAGCTCAAAGAGCGTTATGAAAGAGTATAGAACCCAATACGTTAGCCATTGTTGATCATCTAACGTGGAAGGACTTTCAATTGCTCTCATCGATGCATATCTATGATATCAAACATTTACCAATTAGTCATTACATATAATAAGTTATTATAATAAAATGATATACTACATGATATGATATGGCCATACTTACAAAGGATAAAGAAGCATTACTCCAGGCCTAGTACACAAAAAAAGTCGGACGTTATTATAATTTATAGTTTACCGATATATAATAAAGGTTATACAGAAATAGCAGATATACAGACATATGATATAATAACTTACCCTATTGTCGTATCCAAATGTCTTAATATTGTTCCTAAGACACCCATGATGAATTTTCAAGGTGGAGAGATTAATGAAGTTTATGAAAGATTTAGAGCAAGAGATGAATTGTATTATGTATATTTATGGTAGATATATATTATATATAGATACTTTATATTAAGGTAAATGAACCAAGCAAGGAATGTTTAATTTCTGGGAAGACTCAAAAGTTTTCTTTTCTCTAAGGAGGGATAATAAAGATGCCAAAAGTTAGGAATTTTCATAATATGCTTTGCCTTTTTCTATTGGCTAAGTTTTTGTGGCATTCTATCCGCGTAATTTTGGAAAAATATGAAAAAAAATCCACACGAGAAGGGCAGGCAAAAAAACATGTTCATGTATGTATTTTGCAGTGAAGTGTTTTTTACATATTCCATATCTCTTTGAGTTATTTCCTCAAAGATTCCATCATTTCTAATTTAGTGGAACTTGTATATATATTTTATTTTCATGCCAGGTGTTGAATTAAATGACAGCTTATTTTGCCCTCACATCACTCAAGCAAAGTAAGAATATGTTCTGACTCTCCACATGCACAAAAACTTTGCATGGTCCCAACACTTCCATTTCTTTCCATCATATCTTTTTTCCCATTTGGATGTGGTGATGCATGCTGTTATTAATTCACGTGTCACCTAATGCTGGCCCATTTCTAGTTCTTTTTAAAGCTTGAATGCAAACCACTTTTTTTATGGATTGTTGAAAACATTACTTGTTAATAAAGGGATTGTTGAAAACATTACTTGTTAATAATCACAATTGTTTGGGATGGTCATAAATGATCCAATTTAATATTTACCTTGTTAGAACCTATTTTAAAGTTTAAAAATACTATTCTAATTTGAAAATGTAGAGCATCGTGTTTGAATTCTAGAATCTAAATTAGAATCTATCGAAATTTTATGTTATACTATATTATTGGTATATTTTAGATTTTAAACTCTGAATGTTCAAAATACACATTCCAATAATACAATCTAAAATACACTTGAGTTGATGGATATCGTCGATAAGTTTGGACATTAGTTTTAGTATATTGTTGTCGCATGATATCTTATTTTTGATGTGATTTAACATTGTCGCATTGTATATATATCCCTGTCATTTCCTTCTCATACCGGCAATTCTTCTTTATCTACTAAATATATGTATCATACAACGTATAATGTCTTTCATTGGTTATATATATTGTTTTTATTGTCTATTCATGTATGACTGAAAAATATATATTAATTTAATTTTATTGAATAAAGGTACAAAACAAATGTAATGAACTTTTAAATTTATATTTAAATAAAAAAATTATATTATATATATATATATATATATATATATATATATATATATATATATATATATATATATATATATATATATATATATATATATATATATATATATATATATATATATATATATATATATATATATATATATATATATATATATATATATATATATATATATATATATATATAAAGAGAGAGAGAGAGAGAGATGGTAAGTTATATCAGAATAAAAGAATGAATAATAACTATCAAATTTAAAAAGAAATGTTGAAATTGAATCCTATCTTTCACTAAATTATGTGTCAAAAATCTAAAAAATCGGGCGCTTAAAAATAAATGTTGAAATTGAATCATATCTTTCACTAAATCATGTGCCAAAAATCTAAAAAATCGGGAGCTTTCAAGAAGAGAGAATTAATAATAATTTAAAAAATTTATTTTAATTTAATGGTTCAGATTCATTCTCATATTCTCATAATATTCTCATATATATATATATATATATATATATATATATATATATATATATATATATATATATATATATATATATATAAAACTTTTGAATAAAGAATGAAAGTAATTGAATGTATGAATTAAAATTTATAAATTTAACATATGTTTAAGTTATTATTTAGAGTCTCCATAAAATAATAAATATCTATTAATTTGTATATTAAAAGATATTCTATTTAAATTATATTTATATTACAATAAATGTGCACCGGCCAACTCAATTTTGACTATTTCTTTTATAATGAGAATCGTCCAAAGAATATGCATGTACCGAAGAAACATGTTTTGCACGCCCTCTTTAAGGCACGTTTTCCACTGTCCACATAGATCCACTTGTAACCAAACACAAGTCTTAAACAATGTCCTAACACCCAGTCAAACCTTGTCTACTTTCTCTTGTAAACTTTGAAGCAGAGTCACAGTGCCTTCCAATGAACTCCAAGCATACTCCTTTCAGCCAACATTAGAAAAACATGACCATGATATCAAGACAGTATGTCTAACATCTCTTATTTATCAATACAAGCTCCCATGGACCTTATCCCAATCTGCAGAGAAAAATAAATTCACCCAAACAATATTCAATCCTATTTCTTAGGTCTCTTCTAAAAAACATGAACATAGTTTAAATAATTCAATAGCCTTAACAATTCAAACTCACAAGCAAAATTTACTAAGCTAAAGCATCAACACACCACGATGTCAAGACATCTTGTCTGACATCACAACCTCACATGAATCACATGACCATCTTCATGCTCATAAGTGAGAAAATACTAGGATCACAATCCTTGTACCATAACCAATAAACTCTTGGATTGAGACCAAACACACTATTGATTACTCTCCCCCTGAACACATCCACACACTGTACAAATCCAACTTGAATCTTACAGCCATAGACAACCTTGTTCTTTGAGAATAAACCCAATCAAACCTGGAATGCTCACATCCCCGAAAGAGATACAAATTCTCTTAACACCTTGGTTAGCCAAGATGTCATCCACATTTGGAAGACGTCAAACCCATCTCCATATGAAGAGAGATACATCCTCAGTTTTCTTTCTTCTCAAGATTCAGCTTGATACAATCTTTTCCAAGAGATACTACCAGCAGAACCTACCATCTACTCACAGATAATCAGAATCCACACAGTCCTGACTAGTAGTTCTACACCATATTCCACAATGAATAGATATAGCTCTAAAGATGAAAATCAAACTCAGACATCCTCCAATAGCAGGAATGATGTTCCAACATCATTTAGGACATTAATCTCAATCAAAGAAGCCATGTACTTTGATTCTTGAAACACCAATCATAGGACTTATCATTTGCATAGTAATTCTTACACCTCGTTAAAATACACATGAAGATCTTGATATGATACACACTTGTATCCGCTTAATCTTCACACGAATCAGAGAATCACTGAGGTAAATAAACTCTCATACATCTCATGAAGCTTCTGCCAGAACCAGAATGTGTAAACAAATTATCTGATGTCTTAGACAAAAGAGTACTAGTTGTGTGTATTTGGATAGTCATTTTTATTGTCTTTGTGAAAAATGTGCTATGGAATGAAATTATGTATGATGATAGAGATGGTAGCATGGATGCACAATTTTGTACACCGTTTTTAAATCCATGATCTATCAAATTTTTCCAACATTTCTTCTTGCCATACTAGAGATAGACGAAACAAAAAAAGCAGAACGTCGTCGTAACAGAGTTGTTTTCTTCTTGCCGTACTTATGTCTTTTTTAAATTGTTTTTGAAGATGGAAAATTCTTAGGTACCCATGATAAATAGTTGGGTATCAGTACTTTTAGTGCAAAATAATTTAAAATATTAATTTATTTTTAAATAAAAAATAAAAGATAACATAACATTGAATGAAATTATTTCATTAAACGAAGATACTGGTATCCAACTAAATCTAAAGATACTAAAGTGTTCACTTTTAAAAATTGTCTTAAATGATAGTGGGAAAATTTAAGACATCATTGCGATATACCAAAGGGTAAATTCAAAATATACATTAAAGTCTAATGTTTCCAAGTTGTTTGTCATCTTACCAATTATGCAAGTTGTGAAGAAGGGTCACACTATTTTTATCTCTAAATACCTTTTTTGAGGAAGAGAAACAACTTCTATACAACTGAAGGTTATGAATTTGTAATTTAATCTTCAATGCATTTTAGATGATTTATTATGATTAAGTGATTATCTTAATAACTTTAGTTGCAATACCTTTGTCTGACCTTCTTATAATAATTAAAAAATTCAATTATAAAGATATGTAATAAACCAAGTGTCACATCGTGTGAAACTAATTAATTTGAATCTATATATATCATTCACAAGCAAATAAAAATATAAATAGGTGGATTGAAGACATAGGCTTTCAACCCAATTAATTTAATTTAGGTTTTAAAATTTAATAATTAATTAATTGGTCTCCATATGAATTTCTAAAATAGAACTTTTAAAATTATCAATATAAAAAAATATCAACTAATAATTTATTTATAAAAAGATCTGAATAATAAAAAATAATATATTTCATGCCACATCATCAAAAGAGCACAAATTTACACCTCAACATTTTTTTTACTAAAATTTAGGATGGAAGCCAAAACTGTTTAAAAATAAAATAGGGAAATTGATTTCTTGAGTAAAGCATAACTCAAATCCATTATTGTTGGTGTTATCCATACGCCTTTTACTTGTGAAAAAGGGATATGAATGCCTTTATCACGGGGTTTTGTGTGTTGGTGTTATCACATCTTACAAATGCGAAATTTAATTGAGAGAAAGATAGAGAGAGTGTTTTGAGTGGAAGGGAAGAAGAGAGAGTAATGAAATGAGAAGAAATGATTGTTATGAAATCTTATTACAAAATTACACAAGTAGTCATTATATACACACATGTAGTAACTAACTAACTAATTTTGAATTAATATACAACATGCTCCCTTAATTCAAACTTTCACCAAATGATATACATCAAAAGCTGATATTTCAGACTCTGCATCTTTAGACTCCAGCCACTCTTCAAAAGTTGCTTCGGATCCCAGAGGTTTAGAAGTAGTTCCCACCTCTGACTCCTTCAAAGGTTGATGGTTCAGAAGCTATCAAAGCTTCAAAGACCAGGCTGCTCCATCCTCTGAATCCTTCAGAGGCTATCGCTTCAGAGG